TTTTAGAACTGATCCTGGAGCTTTCCCTCACAAAGGAAAATGCCCTGTTTCAGCTTTTGCAAACCGTTTCAAGTCCTTGAATTTAACTGATTCTTGGGTCTGTTATCCTCTGTCAGATGGCTTTGACCACAATTTGATTACTATTCTCTTATTCTTTCTGAGAAGTCTATCAGAAACAGCAGTGAATGGCCTCAGCTTCCTCATTTCCCATGCAAAAACTTGTCAACAGCTTGTAGGTATTGCCTGTAGATAGTCCCATAGCTGTCACTTAGGTATTTTGTGGTGATGGATGAAACAGGACAGGAAAGATTGGACTGACTTCCACCATGTGGTACCTACAAAAACAAGGACTCTCAATTATTCAAACTGAACTAGGAATCCTAAGGTGTGTCAGTGATTGGGAGGCCATGTTGGAGGCATGGTCAACCTGTGCCTTATGAGTACTATGAGTGCCATTTCGGTGGAGGTAGGGGCAAAGGGTTTACCCAGCAAATGCAAACAAGACTTTATTTCCAGGGCACTCAATGCTCCCTGACTATACTTCTTGTAATGTCTATCTCCAATTTTGTTTTTCTTTTAAAAAGTCATTCTGGCTATTGCAGATCCTTCCTATTTCCAAATGAATTTTAGTGTCAGGTTGCAAATTGCTTCACAAAAGCCTGATGGTATTTTCAATGGAATTGCATTGGATTTATAGATCAATTTGGGGAGAACTGACATCCTAACATTATTAAATCTTCTGATTCACGAACACAGTGTATCTTCATTTATTTAGGTCTTTTTATTTTCTCTCAGCAATTTTTTTGTAGTTATCATTGTAACTTTTTACCTTATTGAGTGCTGGAAGGTTTTGTATGCCTATAAATATTCTTGAGTTGTGTTTTGGCTCTCAACTAAGTTACTGGAAACATTCAATCCTTTCAGGTCTTACTTTTAAGCTTTGTTTGACAGGTCCAGAGGAGTGTTTAGTGTAAGACTGTTTTTGAACCCTTCCTGAGGCAAAATCTTTTGAGCACTTTACTCACTGCCTCTTAAATTATAAAACTTTTGACTCTACCTGGTGGTAACGTGAAATATTCTGAGCTCTTTGTGGGCACTGAGTATCATATCCTGTCATGCTTCCAGGTGGTCCTTTTCCCTGGCCTTGGATAGTTTTCATACATGTATACAGTGATCATTACCCAGTTGAAGACTAAAGGGGTGCCCTAAAGATTTATGGAGCTCTCTTTGTTCTTTAATTTCTTCTGTAGGATTCTCCTCTTTGAACTCTGGCTTCCTTGGCCTTCCTGGACACCTCCTTCCCTCAACTCAGAGACCGCTAGAAGCTGCCTGGGTTTTCTGTTCTTTGTATCATGACTTGGAACCACCTGTCTTCAGGCAGTAAGCTTAGGAAATCACAGGGCTCATCTTGCCTGTTTCCTGTTATGCAGGGGTCATTATCATTCATTATCTGATAACCAAGGTATCAAAATTCATTGTTTCATAGATTTTGTCTGACTCTTTACTTGTTCCAGACAGGAGGTTAAACCCAGTTGCTGTTACTCCATCTTGGGTGGAAGGAGAACCCTTCACATAAACCCAGTTGCTGCTACTCCATCTTGGCTGGAAGCAGAACCCCTTCACATTATCCCTTGAAGGATAATATGTATGGTATGTGTCCATGGCACAAGGTCTATGATTAAATTTAAATTAACTTTCAGGTGTGGCATGAGGCAGGGGTCATGGATAATTTTTTTTTCTCTCAATGATATCAGTTTTCATTTTCATTGTTGGAAAGATTTTTCTTTCCCCATTGAAGTACACTGGTACTGTTTAAAATCAATTGACTTTACATATGTGGATATATTTCTTAACCCTCTATTTGTTCCATTTTTGTCTATCTTCGTGTAATATACTATCTTACTATAACTTTATAACTCCTGTAGTATATGTCATTTAAATATTTGCTCATTTTTTTCAAGATTGTTTTGGTTCTAGCCTTTTTCATTTCCATATAAATTGCAAAATTATTTTCTTGATTTCTAGAAAATAATCTGCTTGGATTTTGATCATAGATGCATTTAATCCATAGATAAATATTGATAGACATTTTAGCAATATTGGGTCTTCTAATCCATTAATATGGTATATAATCATTTATTTGGATCTTCTTTAATTTCTCTCAGTAATGTTATATAGTTTTCACTGTAGATGTCTGGAAATTGTATTGTTGTCTGGAAATACAGCTTTCTTTCTTTCATTGAAATCATTATGCCTTTATTTCTTTTTCTTGCCTTATTGCACTCCAGTATAATATTGAACAGACATAGTGAGAGCAAATATCCTTGCCTCCTTCCGATCTTAAGGAAAAATCAATTTTTCACTCTTAAAAATGATGCTAGCTGGAGATAGTTCACAGATGTCCTTCATCAGATGAAAAAGTTCCTCTCTATTCATAAGTATTGTTTGTTTTCAAAGAATAATCTATTCATGTCACAGACTCAAACCACTGCAAAATTTGATATTACATGCTTAAATTTATTAACTTTTTAAACTTCTTTGCTTTACATTGTCAGCACTGATAACTTTTCTATGGTTCTTAGCTGTGCTATTAAGGCTACAGATATGAATGGTGAACTTTTGGCTAGACTCATGCTGAGAGTTTTGCTAATGTATGCTAACTTGACAACTTGACCATTAAGATTTTACCAACAAAATAAGAAATGACTAGATATAATCCATTTTCAGGGTTCTAGAAAATAACTGAAATTGGCTGTGTTAAATCTAAGGTCTTCTTTTATCTCTCCTGATTTTTAGTTCTATCTTTCCTATCCCTTTCATTTACAATGGTTTTGGGAGATTTTGAATTTAGCAATTCAATTCTTTCTAAACTACTTTCTTAATTTTATTGCCAACTTTAAAAAATTGTTGGTGGAAAGTTTAATAAATCTGATCATTTATATGTACATTTTCTTTATTACTGACATAAAACACACATACTGAAAAGTGCACAAATAAGCATATGCCTTCATGATTTTCTTTTTTTCTTTTCTAGATGGAGTCTTGCTCTGTTGCCCAGGCTGGAGTACAATGGCACAATCTCGGCTCACTGCAACCTCCACCTCCTGGGTTCAAGTGATTCTCCTGCCTCAGCCTCCCAAATAGCTGGGATTACAGGCACCTGCCATCATGCCTGGCTAATTTTTGTATTTTTAGTAGAGATGGGGTTTCACCATGTTGACCAGGCTAGTCTCGAACTCCTGACCTCAAGTGATGCACCACCTCGGCCTCCCAAAGTACTGGGATTACAGGTGTGAGCCACTGTGCCCGTCTGCCTTCATGAATTTTTGAACACACCCAGAAAGAGCAGAAGACAACATTTCTGGCACTCCAGAAGATGTCTTGTTTTCCCTTTCCAGGCAACCCCAGTGGTAATTCCCAGTGGTGTGCTGGAGCTAGCCTACACCAGCTCTTGGGAGCTGATAAATTTTCAGGAATCTCTGATGAGGCATTCAGATTTTACTGGAAAATTAGAAATATTTAGTTACAATCAATTTTCAGAGTTTTAGAAAATAGTTTAAATCTATTATGTCAAATCTAAGGTCTCCTTTAAATCTGGTTTTTAGTTTTAGCTCCATCTTTCTTATTCCTTTCATTTACACACAGGCATTATTAACAATTAAATTATATCAATTAATATTTTATTTTAGTAATATATTTTATAAGCTGATATATTAAAAATAGTATTTCAACGCAATCAATATAAAATTATTGAGATATTTACATTCTTTTTTATTTTCATAGCAACCCTTTGACATGTATTGAATATGTTACATTCATAGCACATACCAGTTGGACCAACACGTTTAAGGTGTTCAGTAGCCACCTGGGGTTGTGGCTCCCACATTGGATAGCACAGTTGAAACCCTACATTGCTTTATTTACCACTGAACAATATGTTTTCAACTTTGTTTCAAAGCTCTTAGATCTTTCAGTATTTCATAATGTAAGCCCCTTCTATTTCAGGGACTATGTAGTAATACATACTCACACTTGAATGATGCTACTAAAGCTTCCCCTTCCTCACCTTTTTCCTTTCAAATTTAGATTTTCTGTTGCCTGGAAAATGCGTATGAACCAGTTCAACAAGTAAATTGATCTCCCCTGCCGCCCCCTACCACAGTCTATATGTGTATTTTTCTTTTCCTTTTTTTTTTGTACTTTTAAGTTCTAGGGTACATGTGCACAACGTGCAGGTTTGTTACATATGTATACGTGCCATGTTGGTGTGCTGCACCCATTAACTCGTCATTTACATTAGGTATATCTCCTAATGCTATCCCTGCCCCCTCCCCCCACCCCATAACAGGCCCTGGTGTGTGATGTTCCCCTTCCTGTGTCCAAGTGTTCTCATTGTTCAATTCCCACCTAATAAGTGAGAACCAATTAATATTTTAAAATATTAAAAACATTTTACTTTGTTCAACTTAAAGACAAAATTAATATATTTCTTGAGGTCAAATTATCGAAAAAAACTCTATCTTGTAAAATTGCATATTAAAGCAGTGCGTGGAAGCTGATGGCAAGAAACCACTTAAGTGTCACAACTCTGCTTCGAGTTAATTCCTACTCCATTTGATTTTGTTTTGCTTTTAAGATCACAAAGCTGATGTACACTTCCGTGCGAGCTTAGAGTCTGGTAATGAACTCCACAATACACTGAAAAGAGCTGGAGGAGATAGCAGATGAATGAAGGACTAGGGCTCCGGTTTTGCAGGTGAAGCCCAGGTTCTTAAAGGTCCTACCAGGCCTGTATTTTATTTCTCCTTCGCAGGCCTCTAGGCCAAATGCCTCGATGAATCTGCGCTCCGTGGGCGTCCCGGAATTACACACGGGAAAGAATAAGGAAAGAGAAGGCCGACGTGCCCATGGACATTATCAACCTTCCGTCAGATCCCCACAGCGGCCAAACTGCGTCTCCTCTGCCGCTTTTGGCGCGCAGCTCACGCCCGCAGCGTCAGCGACGTCGGCGGCGCCAAGGCGTCTTGGCGTCGGGCGTCTGGGACGTGGCATCAACGGCCCCATCCGGCGCCGGCGGCGGGCGCCCGGCGGTCTTTGCTGCCGCCCGGGGGCGCAGAGGCCGGGCCTTTTCTTTCAGCACAAACGTCAGTTTGTAAAAGGGTGGGGCTGGAGTCTGAGGAGTTTTCAGGCTTCTGTCTCGAAGGAAGTCTGGCAGGCTCGGAATTGCCATCTTCCTCAGGCAAATAGTTTTTCACCTTAGAGCCAGCCTTGGCAAGGCCAAACCGCCCAGTCACCCGACTTCCCACAGTCTCAGCAGGTACACAGGACCGGGAGCCTCGCGAGCGGCTCCCTCCGCCGGACCTGAGGGTTTCGGGAGAGTCCTGGGTTTGCACTTAGTTTTCCCGCTGCCTGGCTGCCTCCGTGGCGGTTGTGCTGCTTTTTATGCAAGATCTGGGATCGAAGGCAAATCATCCTTTCCCTACGCCCCCTGCCGACCCTTGCCGCTCTCCTCGATTTTGTACACTGTCATTAAAGGGTTTGAAATGAATGTACATTAATCCTTGAAGGATGAAACCAGAAAACATTTGTCGTGGTGGCGGAAAGGGACAGATGCACTTGGGCGAAGTAATGCTGACATCCACTTCCGAGTATTGTTAGGAGGGATAAATGAATTAAATATGTAAAATCCTTAAATATTTGCTTGCTAATATAAGTATTCATTGCGTGTGACTCTATTTTTGTATTTATGTGAACTTCATCGGAGCATTTGTCAGGTTCTTTTTTCTCTTTTTTTTTTGCACTAAGTGAGCGTGGCCGGCCGGCCGGCCTGCCTGCCTTCCTGCCTGCCTGCCTGCCTTTTCTCACACTTTTTTGGGGGGAGAGGACACAAAGCAATCCATAATACACTTGTTCTTTTTTCCATCGAACTTTCCTCTTGACCATGTTTTCTTCTAGTAATACTCTTATTTCTTTCCTCCCTTTTGTAGGTAAAATTTGTCTACAGTGGTTGTATTCAATTCTTTGTTCTTACTTCCTGTCTTTTGAACGGTAAATCAGATATTTACCTCGATCATTCTACTGAAATTGTTGCCGTTCTGTTCTTCAGGTTACAAATGACCTACCTCCATGTTGCCAAATCCAGTGTCAGCTCTTAGTCTTCATTTTACTTGACTCAGCATTTGACATAGTTCATCGCTCCGTCCTTGGTGACATTTTCTTTTCCTTGCTTTCTATGTATATGTGCCCTTTTGGTTTTACTTATTGGCTCATTGGCCACTCTTCTTACATCCTGTTTGCTGGTCCTGATGGTTTTGGTGGAATTTTTGATGTTTGCTTGGACCTGATGGTTTTGATGGAGTTTCTTTGGCAATGTAATTTATTCAGAATTCTTTTGAGGCTTTTCAATTTTGTAAATTTAATCTTGGTTTCTGCATCATTTTGCTTGTAACATTAATTTTTACTTAAAGCATTATGTCACAATCGGTATGAGAATAATGTAAAAGGGGGCAGTCACGGTGGCTCAGGCGTGTAATCCCAGCACTTTGGGAGTCCGAGGTGGGCGGATAACCTGAGGTCAGGAGTGTGAGACCAGCTTGGCCAATGTGGTGAAACCCTGTCACTACTAAAAATACAAAAATTAGCCGGGCGTGGCAGCGGGTACCTGTAATCCTAGCTACTCGGGAGGCTGAGGCAGGAGAATCGCTTGAACCCGGGAGGCGAAGGTTGCAGTGAGCCAAGATTGCGCCATTGTACTCCAGCCTGGGTGACAAGAGTGAAACTCTGTCTCAAAAAAAAAAAAAAAAAAAAATGTAAAAGGGAATATTTTGCAGGGGCTTTGGTTCAAGTGCTATAATGTATGTATTTACTATTATCATCAGTAGTTTCCAGTAGAGCATTGTGTTCTTCCTTCAAATGGATTTTTAGTGACACTGGTATCAAGTTATCTTTGCTAAGTGATATTTGACTATGATTTAAAAATTATGCTTGATGACTATGCATTCAATTAACTATAGTGTATCATCAAAACAAAAAAGCAGTTGTATAATTCTTGGATGAAATAAACATTTTCAATGCTATTAAGATATTTTCATTCTATTGTTTACAACCTAGTTTAAAGAATGTAACAGCAAGTTGTATAAAATGTCTTAGAATTTTAGTTTTTGAGAATTTTCTGTTTGTGCTTGCAGACGTATTTAAGGGCATGTATCCCTGGCCCCATATATATTATATGTTTTTAATTTTAATTTTTTTATAAGTAATCTCTTAGACATGTATATGATTCTTTTCCAGCGGGGTGTCATCATCTACTTGTTAAAATCCTAATAAATGTTCACATATTGAAATATCTGGATTTTGGAAATTCATAATTACATCAACAATTGTTATCTGCTGTTCATGTGTCCAAAGTAATTGAGAAATTATTAGTTTTTAAAACTTTATTCAAAGTGATTTTATTTATAACATCTGTAAGTTGTATTATTTGTTTTTATATTTTATTCTCTGAAATAGTATATTATACTATTTGGTATTGATATTTGTGTTTTGCATAAATGTGCTGACAGGATATCAACTTTTGCCGTGATTTCTGGCAAATAAAAAAATACTATTATTGGTCTCTTAATATTTATTGGATGATCTTCTGAATATTAGATACTGCTTCTCCAAAAATTCAATCATGTTTATTGTTATTAACAAATATATAGGCCTTTATTTTCTCATTTTCAGTAGAATTGCTAATTATATTTTTTTCAAACCTGCTACTAACTTTTAATACTTACCACTATTGATGTGTATTTTATTAATGTTCAACAATATGTGATAAATGCTGCTGATCTTTGCATCATTTTTTATTCTTCAGCTGGATTATTCCTCAACCGTTTTTATTCTTTGCATCAGTTTTTATTCTTCAGCAGTATTATTTTGTGATTACTTGTGCTATTTTATCTATTATATTTTTCATTTTTTAATATTTTCACTTGGGTCTTAAAAATACCCCTTATACCTGTTTTATATGGCTAATATTCTCTTTCTGTGTGTTTATATATTTTTAGTCTCTCTGTTTTAATGATTCTACAACTAAAACATGTTTTTTAGTTTCTTATTTTTATATTTATTTGTTTATTTGAGATGGAGTCTTGCTGCATCCCCTAGGCTGGAGTGCAGTGGTGCAATCTCAGCTCGCTGCAACTTCCGCCTCCTAGTTTAAGCGATTCTCCTGCCTCAGCCTCCCGAGTAGTTGGGACTACAGGTGCCCACCACCACGCTTGGATAATTTTTTGTATTTTTAATAGAGACAGGGCTTCACCATGTTGGCCAGGCTGGTCTCGAACTCCTGGCCTCAGGTGATCCACCCGCCTCTGCCTCCCAGAGTACTGGGATTACAGGTGTGAGCCAATGCGCCTGGCCTATTTTTTATTTTTTAATGGTTGTTTTTTTCAGTTGTCAAGTAGTTTTGGCCTGTGAGCTCATATACCCTTGGGGTGTCACCTACTTTATCTGATAATCTATTATTAGGAAATGATCAAAAGCCAGTTCCCAGCCTGTGTTCCTCCTGGAAGTTTAGGGAAAGTATGTGGGTGTGTTTGTTTTTGAAGTGCTAGATATTTCCTGTGGTCTGAATGCTTGGGTCATCCCCAAATTCGCATGTTGAAATTGGACCCCAGTTCAACGTATGGTAGAATTAGGAGGTGGGCCCTTTAGGAGATGATTAGGTCATGAGTAAAGCACCTTCATAAATGGACCTAGTGCCCTTATAAAAGAGGTCTGAAAAAGCTCCTTTGCTCCTTCCATCATGTGAGGACACAGAGAGAAGGCACCATTTATTTGGCATCTGGGCTTTCATCAGACACCAGCTGTGCTGGTGCCTTGTCGTTGGACTTTCCTGTCTCCAGAACTGTGAGAAATAAATGTTTCTTGTTTATAAGCTATGCAATTTATAGTGTTTTGTTATAGCAGCCTCAACAGACTAAGACATTAGTGCTGCTGTAACAAAGTACCACAAACTGGGTGGCTTAGAACAACAGAAATTTATTATTTCATAATTCTGGAGGCCAGAAAACTGAAATCAAGGTTTCAGCAAAACCATGTTCCCTGCTGAAGGCTCTAGGGAAGAATCTCATTAGTTTTTACAAGCTTCTGGTGGATGTTAGCAATCCTTGATATTCCTTAGCTTACAGGTGCATCACTTTAATTTCTGCCTGTCGCTATACGGTCTTCTTGTAGTGACACCAGTCATTGGATTTAGGACCCATCTTAACTTTATCATAGCTGCAAAGGCCCTATTTTCAAGTAAGGTCACATTCAAAGTGCTGGGGCTTAGGACTTGAACATATTTTTCTCAGGGACACAGTTCAACACATAACAATGGGACAAGCTGAAGTACAGAGAGCTTCAGATAACAGAGTACCAGTGTTACATTACTTTATCTTAATTTTGCCACTGTACTTGACAATTTCCATGGTTAGGCTTATACTTTTAAACTATTTGGGAGGTGGCATTGTCCTGAGTCTTAGGCAGCTTTGAGGGGAGAGAAAAATAGAGGAATAAAAGCCCAGGACCTATCTAGTTTATACTTTCTTAGCATAGCTTTGATGCTGCCTTAATATTACCCTAATGATACCTTGGGCCAAGACTACTGCTCCTGTGGGAATAAAGATGTATATTAAGGACATATATTAGCTCAAATATGGGAGAAAGGTAGGAAGAAAATGTAATTTTTTTTTTCCTGAGTGGATTCTCTCATTGTTGCTTCTGGCTTCTTCAGTCCCTATATTCGTATCCTAAATGCCCCATAAACAAATTAGCCTTCGTTTAGGGGTTTCTTACAGTTTAAATTTTTTTTGTTCTTGTTGTTTTTTGTTGTTAGGAATATTTTCCTTTCTATTTTTCATTTTTTCAAAGTTGATTTTAGGATTCACCATCTTCATGGCAATTGATAATCCTTTTATCATTTTAAATCTGAAATGTTTTCATCTACAACCCTCCTTACTTACAGGAAATGCTATAAGTCCTATAGGTAAAATAACCCAACATTTTCCATATGGAGAGCAACGGGTATAGAAAAGAAGCAAGATTTGTAGCCAATTTGACCTATGTTGTAATTCTGAAAAATTTAGCACTTATTAGCTGTGTGACTCTTGGTTAGTCACTTAACTTGTCTGAGCTCAGTTTACTCTCATGTAAAATGGAATAATGCTGTACATAAAGGGCATACCTTAGATTAAAAATGATAGAGCTTTTACTGTTATTGTTATTATACTTAGGTTTAAATAACTTCTTGATATACGTTAGATATTGTGATAACTGCATTCTATTTTTCTTTGTTTTGTTTGAGTAACTGTGACTCAAAAAAGCCTGAAGTGTAATTGTAGCTTCCAGAAGTTGCTTAATGTACTCTGAGCAAATTGCTAAAGCATCAGAGAAAGAGAAATGTAGTATGTGAATTTAATTAGAGCCTGGTGTTTTCTCTGAATCTCTTTTAATTTTTTTTCACAGGGAGGAAAAAATTTTTTTCATCTATAATTTGGAAGCCAAGTCGTAACAAAATGAAACCAGTAAAGCATCTGTTGACCACCAGTAACAAATCGGCAACTCTTCCAGCATTAACCAGCAAAAAAGGACTACATAATTTACCACTATCACCTAAACTGAAGGAAAAACATAATGCAAAATTAATTCATGATAAAATTGAACCAATGGTCCTGAGATCTCCACCAACAGGAGAATCCATTGTACGGTATGCTTTGCCCATTCCATCGAGTAAGACAAAGAACTTACTACCAGGAGATGAAATGATTGGAAAAATTATCAAACGTCTGAAGATGGTAAGAGGCTTGTTAGTTTCTGTGTTGCAGGGACCCCATGATCACCCCAGGTTTGGTGATATTCTAGGAGAACTCACATGACTCCACATATAGTCATACTGATGGTTAAGATTTATTACAGTAGGCACATGAGGTGAAATTAGGAGAAAACCAGATCTAAGCTTGCAAGAGTCTTTTCCCCTTAGAGTCACCCAGGACATGCTTAATTTCTTTAGCAATGAATTGTGACAACACATATGAAATGTCTGTCGGGGAAAATCATTAGAAACTTAGTGCCCTGGGATTTATTGGGAGTTTACTATTCACTCTGTGCTTAGCATATATGAAAATTTCAGACTCTCACAAGGAAAGGAGGTTCAGTATAAACCACATTATACAAACAGTTTAGGGACAGTGAGCTCCTGTCAGTGAATGGGGAGAACCCTCCTGATATCCAAGTTCTCAGATCCAAGTTCTCAGATGCCAGGTTAAGGCCAACCTTGCAAGCAGGCCTTCCTAAGTCCTGCATTTCTACTGTGTTAAACTCCGCATTTCAGAAACTTTAGCTCTTTTTTTGTTTCTTGAAATGAAGTCTCGCTCTTTTGCCCAGGCTGGAGTGCCGTGGCATGATCTTGGCTCACTGCAACTTCTGCCTCCCGGGTTCAAGCAATTTTCCTGTCTCAGCCTCCCGAGTAGCTGGGACTACAGGAGCATGCCACCATGCCCGGCTAATTTTTGTATTTTTAGTAGAGATGGGGTTTCACCATACTGGTCAGGCTGGTCTCAAACTCTTGACCTCAGGTGATCCACTCGCCTCAGCTTCCCAAAGTGCTGGGATTACAGGGGTGAGCCACCGCGCCCAGCCGAAACTTTAGCTTTTGATGTGGGGAAAAATTTTACTTTTTCTGAGTTTCTTTTTTTTTCACCGCGATCCAGAATTGAATTGTAAATGTACCAAATATCAAGTGAGAATGATGAGGAAGAGCACAAATATAAAAAAAAGATACAGTACGTCAAACTTGTACAGTACAAGTTTGTTGAAAGTTTGAGGGGTTAGGCCAGATAATTTTCTTTAAAAATTCATTGCTTTCTGGTCTCCATCTTTCAATATTCCCTAACTCTCTTTGGAGGAGAAAATCAAGGCAGACTTTGAGGAAACCTCTACTTAATGCTTCAACCACTCATGGACAGGCCCTCTCCGTTTTAAGATACCTATCAACACAGAAATGTTAGAGTCACAGAGCATCTCTCTTTTGCTAGGGAGTAAGGTTAAGGAATATTGCTTTTTCCTCATGATGACATGAAATTGGGTATGGGATGGAAAATTTAAGTTTGTGGCACTGGAAGAAATAAGTCTTACTGGTAAAAAGGTCCTGGCATAATTGATTGACTATTATTTACATTTAATGTAGTTAATTTTAAACTATTAAAGTATCAAATTGGCTTTGTTTTTTTTTTTTTTACAGGTTGTTTCCACTTTGGAAGAAACCTATGGACACTGTGATCAGAATGGAGAAGAACCATTTGTAAAGCGTGAAAATGAAGAATTATCTTTATCTGTAAGTATATGCAACCCTAATATAGAGACATTAACACTGAAAAGGGTCGATTTTCTTTTCAAAAATATAAATTTAAAATATTTTCTTTTGGATTACTTATATGTTCTCGGAATGAATTTCCCATCCATGAAAATGATCCTCTCAGAAAATTACTCAACCCAACCAAATCCCTCTTGACCTGAATTTTGCCAAGAAGGTTGCAGAAAAGGAGTTCTACATACCCATTAGGAATGACCAAAATTTTAAAGATAGACAATAATCAAGTTTTGGTAAAGATACGGGGCCACTGGAACTCTCATACAGAGCTGGTGGGAACACAAATGAGACTGCTATGTTGAGAAACAGTTTGACAGCTGCTCATGAAGTTTAACATATACTTAAAAGATAACCACCAGTTCTACTCTTAAGTGATTATCCAAGATTAATGAACACATACATCCTCACAAAGACTTGTATGTAAATGTTTATAGAAATTTTGTTCATAATAGCCAGAATAGCTACTGAATCCAGCAACCCAAATATTTACTAACTGGTGAATGGACAAGCAAATTGTAGTATAGCATACAATGAAATACTCTTCACAATAAAGGAAACAAACTACTGACACATAGAACCATGTGGATGAATCTCAAAAACATTAGGATGTGGGGAAGCTAAATAAATAGGGCTGCATACCATATGATTCTATTTATATGAAATTCTGGGAAAGGGAAAACTGTAGTATAGGACCAGTGGTTGTCTTGAGCTAAGGTAGGAGGGGAGAATTGACTGCAAAGGAGTACAGTGAAGCTTTTTGAAATAATGGAAATGTTTTATATTTTTATTGTGGTGGTCATTACCCAACTATTAAAAGGACTGTGTAATCACAATCCTTATCCTGCACGACCTTGTGGTTATTATGTTTTGAAGCCCTGCCAGGATTGAATCAAAGAACCAAAACTAAACTCTAAAATTGAAGTTCAAAAGAAACGGGAATGACTAGAGGTGGGAGGGAAGTGGGGTAAGGGTTGAAAAACTAGCTATTGGGTACTGTGCTCAGGACTTGGGTGATGGGATCATTGATACCCCAAACCTCAGCATCAAGCAATATATCCAGGTAACAAACCTTCTCATGTACCCACTAAATCTAAAATAAAAGTTGGAAAAAAAAAAACCACCAACAAATAAAATAAAATGAAATTAAGTTCACATTCCTGTGGTCTCCAATACTGAAAAAATTGAAGAAATCAGCCCTTCGGATACCGCCTTTATTTTACTGAATTTCTTTCCTCCAATGATCTTGTATTTTATTTTACCTCAACCACTAATTGACAGAGTGATATCCTGTATTCCTTACCATAACTGTTTCAGAATTTGAATTTCAGTCATCCTAATCTCTGGCCACTACCTCCTGTCTTTCCCACTCAGTCTGTCCAAAATTCTGACTCCAAAAATCCTTTGATTTCACAGGGAACCATAATCCATTGGTCCTGCTGCCTTTTTAGTGTCCCAAATCCTCCTTGTGCCCTTACTTACCCAGCTTAAATAGCATGGTCCACTATTGTTATCACTCCCTTTCATGCGTACTTAACTCTCTTGCCCTGTTCTGCTTTATTGGTCTTATTTGTTAAATTATAAACTCAGTCAAATCAATCTCTATCTTCTCTATATTTCTCTATCTTCTCTATATTTGTGGCGCCTGAATGTGGGTGGAAGAAGTGGGCTAATGGTTTCCCTTTATATTTGTGATTAGTAACACTAATCTGTTCATTTTCCTCTCTGCTGGATTATTTTAGTTTTTTTCCCTGTCTCCTTTATGATTAAAGGTCTTTATTGTGTCAAAAAGTATGTGAGCCTCTCAGTATATTTATTTATTTATTTGTTTGTTTTATTTTATTTATTTTTATTTTTTTGAGACAGAGTCTTGCTCTGTGACCTAGGCTGGAGTATGGTGGTATGATCTTGGCTCACTGCAACTGCTGCCTCCTGGATTCAAGTGTTTTTCGTGCCTCAGCCACCCACATAGCTGGGATTACTGGTGTGCGCCACCACGCCCAGCTAATTTTTTTGTATTTTTAGTAGAGACAGGATTTCGCCATGTTGGCCAGGCTGGTCTTGAACTCCTGACCTCAAGTGATCCACCTGCCTCAGCCTCCCAAAGGGCTAGGATTACAGGTGTGAGCCACCGCACCTGGCTCAGTATCTTTAAATGTAATGCTCAGGGAATACATTCTTCATGGAGAACCACTCTATGAAAATTCTAACTGTATATAAGCCTGTAATATTTGTTTATCATGAGTCAATTCTCTGATTTACAAATCACTGCTTTACAAGAAGGGATTTGATCATTATGATATTTAAGCTGTAACTGTTTTTTTCCTCAAAGTTTTACATTGCCCATTAGGTGAGAGCAGAAGACTGCAGTTCGTGGCAAGTATACAGTTAGATGTCATAGGTAGTAGTCATAGGCTGGGATGCTGGATTTTCTGGAACTGTGTAGAGATGAATGAGAGGAGAGACATAGCTGGGTATATGTCACTGATGGGCCACTTCCCAGAATGTACTTTCTTCCATGTTTTCTCTCTGGGAGAATTTGCAAGTATGACATTTGAAGCATGGCTTCTTGCCGTAAATGTTTGAAGGGACGTAAATTAAGCAAAGTTAAAATTTTTCAAAAAGTAAATATGCTAGAAAAAGACAGACATGCTTATGGACTCTTAAATAAAAGTAACTTTATGTTTTATTATTCTTTTCAAAAGGTTGGGGATGATATGAATTCATTCTTGACGTGTTGTTCACAATTTGCAACTCAGCTAGAAGCAGCACTTAAAGAAGAACAAAATGTATGTATTCTGTATATACGGCCAAGTATAAAATACCAGACTTGTACTGGTTGTTGAAAATTGAATCTGCTATACAGTCAGCCAACATTAACCTAGATTCAGTGTCTTAAGAAATTATAAATGGCATTGGAAAGCATTATTTATTTATTTTTTATTCTTTTTTTAAATCATCATCAAGGGTTTTTACTATGCCCAAATGCAAAGATTATGCCACTGAACCACCACAAATAAGACATGAACTTTAAATTAATTCTTCAATAGTTGTGTGAATCTTAATGAATCTGCCATATTCCCTCACTAAGAGCATGTAAGTAGTTACAAGGTAGTTAATAAATATTAAGGTTGTGGCAATCAGCCTCAAAGAGAGAATGATTGACCATTACAGAGAATGACCACATAAATCATGGTTTAGTACCATAACCCTTATCAGTTAGCTGTGAGTAAAAGGTAAGACTGCAGTGGAATTGTTGAAATTGTCTTTTTTTCTTAGAATACACTTAATTTATTGCTTTTCTTGGTAATAGTATTTAAATTGGCATGTAATAATTATACATATTTGTGGGGTACATAGTGATATTTTGATACATACAATGTGTAGTGGTCAAATTAGAGTAATTAGCATATTCATTACCTCAAACACTTATCATTTCTTTGTGATGGGAACATTCAAAATACTCTCTTCTAGCTATTTGAATACATATATATATATAAAATAAACTGTTGTTAGCTGTGGTTACCCTATAGGGCTGTAGAACACTATAACTTATTCCTCCTATCTAACTGTAATTTTTTATCCTTTAACTAACCTCTCCCTATCCTCCCTCACCCCTACCCTTTCCAACCTCTAGTAATCATAATTCTACCCTCTGCTTCTGTGAGATCCGCTTGTTTTAGTATTTGCATATTGGTGAGAACATGAAATATTTATCTTTCTGTTCCTGACTTATTTCTCTTAATATAATATCCTATAGGCCCATCCATGTTGCTGTGAATGACAGGATTTATTTAATTCTTTTTTGGAATTAAGAGTGAAATCTTTTTTGGAACTAAAAGCGGCTGAATAGTAGTCCATTCTCCCTATATGCCACATTTTCTTTATTAATTTGTCTATTGATGGACATTTAGGTTGATTCTATATCTTGGCTATTGCAGTTTAGTGCTGCAATAAACATGGAAGTACAGATGTCTCTTCAGTGTACTGATTTCCTTTCCTGTGGATATACACTCAGTAGTGAAATTGCTGGATCATATGGTAGCTCTATTTGTAGTTTTTTGAGGAAACTCCATGCTATTTTTCATTATCGTTCTACTAGTTTACATTTCCACCAAAAGTGTATATGTTCCTTTTTCTCTGCATCCTTGTCAGTATTTATTTTTTGTCTTTTTGATAATAGCCATTCTAACTGAGGTGAGATGGTATCTCATTGTGGTTTTAATTTACATTTCCCTGATGATTAGTGATGATGAGCATTTTTTTTCCTATACTTTTTAGCCATTTGTTTATCTTTCTTTTGAGAAATATTCAAGCCATTTACCTATTTTAAAATCAGATTTTTTTTTTTGCCATTGAGTTGTCTGAGTTCCTTGTATATTTTGAATATTTATCACTCGTTAGATGAATTTGTTTTACAAATATCTTTTCTCATTCTGAAGATTGTGTTTTCACTCTGTTTGTTTCCTTTGCTGTGCAGAAGGTTTTTAGTTTGATATAATACCGCTTGTCTGTTTTAACTTGTGTTGCCTATGCTTTTGAGGTCTTACCCATAAAATATTTTCTCAGACCAATGTCCTGAAGCATTTCCTCTGTTTCCTTCCAGTAGTTTCATAGTTTTGGGTTTTATATTTAAGTCTGTAAGCTGTTTTTGAGCTGATTTTTGCATATGGTGAGATATTGGGTTCTAGCTTCATTCTTCTGCCTATGGATATTCAGTTTTCCCAGCACCATTTATTGAAAAGACTGTCCTTTTCCCAATGTTCTTGGTGTTTTTGTTGAAAATTTGTTTGCTATAAATAAGTGGATTCATTTTTTGGGTTCTCTATTGGGTTCCATTGGTCTATGTGTCTGTTTTTGTGCCAGCACCACGCTGTTGTGGCTACTATAGCTTTGAAGAGTATGTTGTGTGTGTGTTTGCACGTGTGTGTGTGTGTGCTTTTTTTTTTAAAGAGACAAGGTCTCACTTTTTTGGCCAGGCTGGAGTGCAGTGGCACAATCATAGCTCACTGCAGCCTCGAACTCCTGGACTTGAGGGATCCTCTTGCCTCAGCTTCCCAAGCTGCTGGGATTACAGGCATGAACCACCATGCCTAGCTAACTTTGTAGTACATTTTGAAGTCAGATAGTGTGTTGCTCCCAGCTTTCTTCTTTTTGCTCAGGATTGCTTTGGCTACTTATGGTCTTTTGTGGTTCTACATGAATTTTTAGGATTTGTTTTCTATTTCTGTAAAGAATGTCATGGTATTAATAATTAATATTGTTAAAATGACGATACTACTGAAAGCTATCTGCAGATTCAGTGAAATCCCTGTCAAAATGCTACTGGGCATAAGCCCAGTATCAATATTAATTCTTCTAATTCATGAACATAGGATGTCTTTTTTTGTGTGTGTGTGTCTTCTTTAATTTCTTTCATGAGTATTTTATAATTTTCATTGTAGAGACCTTTTACCTCCTTGGTTAAATTTATTTCTAGGTAGCTTATATGTTATTTTGTAGCTATTATAAATGGGATTGGTCTCTTGATTTCTTTTTCAGTTAGTATATAAACATACTACTCATTTTTATATGTTGATTTTGTATTTTGCAGCTTTACTGAATTTATTCATTAATTCTGAGAAGTTTCCGGTGGAGTCTTCTATATATATAATACGTATATGCTCATGTTGTCTGCAAACAGGGACACTTTTAAGGCCCTCCACTTAGTTGTTTTTCTTCCCTAGGAGAGTTCTGAGTTAGGTGAAACTAACTCAGTTTAGTGGGAACCTCTAGAGAGCTCAAAAGTGGGAACCTCTAGAGAGCTCAAAACACTCACACAGTTTCTTAGGAATATGTCTGCTATGCTGTCTCCAGAACCACTCAAAATGAGGGTTGCTGTTTTTAAGACTTCTACTGTGCTGGAGGAGAGGGTGGGGTAAGACTGAGTTAAAATACCACACAATTCTGCTGTGGTGTTCAAGCCACATTTTATTGATGTGGCTTTACTTAGTTGCTTTAAATATTTAACTGTTTTTCGGAGTTCTAACAAAATTGGAGCATAGGCCCTTGGACTTCCCTACTGT